GTTTACACGTGAAATATCAATCGGATGCATTTCAAATGAATCGGATGTGACTAGATACTACAGAATCAGTACGTTTGGCATATTAAAACAATATAATTCGTAGTTCTGGTGCAATGCAATGCAAATGCATAATAGAGTTGAAAGTTGGAAATACGCCATGTAAGAAGAAACATTTTTGATGATTTGAAGTGATATTTTCTTCTACTTTTTCGTGTTTATCGAGTAGTTTGTGAACTGTTCTCTCTATATGTGTCAAAATATGGTTTGTTTACATTTTGGGGTTACGCTCTTTTCAAATGTTGGTCTAGCATTCTACAGAACTAAAATAATGAAATTGATCGATATTTATCGAGCTGAACTATTATGGGTTTTATATTTTTTTTAGCTGAGGCCATTTTCAAATGCAATTCGTGTCTTTCAAACATGCTATGCAGCTCCGAAGACCACATTTTAAACTTCTCCACTACCAAATAATCATCGAAAATGTCAGACCATTGAATGCCCATTGTCAATGTGATACTAGCAAATGTTGACTAGTTTTATTATTTACCCCTACGTCTTTTATCAAACAACTAAGAGAAGTGTATAAATTATGGTACTAGTGCCACCTTGTGTTTTAAATAACTATATCCATATTTTTAAATCTAGGCATTTACCACAGCATTGAGATCAACTTCTTGTAGATGGAATTTTGATTACAGGATATTTAGTGCCATAACTGGTACACTTCCCCAAAACCACACAACTGTCATGTCGAAACTGTATGCCGAATTATTTTGGGGCCCGTTAGAGACAAATTTTGATTAATTTTCAAAACATGCCTGCGTTAAAAGCATTTATATAATGGATTTATCATGATTTTTGCGGTACGTTTATCTGTGCCTATAACGCACATCGAAAACCAAATCATGTGTATTCATAATTTCAAACATCCATCTAACCGTGAATAACAACCGAACTTTACTTTACACAAATATCCATGATGTCGTTTCAGCACATTGAACTCGACGTTTTCTTCAGGCAGTACCCCAACAGTATGACAAATTCAATTGATCATATGTAATCTTTATAAATTGAGCAAAACACCTCAAAGGCCAAAGTTCAACACTTTTGCTCAGCGCTCAAATTGGCCAAACCCATCGATGTGTCATTCCCTTAATCAATGAAACTCGATCCCACCTATCAAAGCCGATATCCTTCGCAGTGTCAACGCGCGTGTGGCGCACGATCGAGTCATATCAAGGATGCCGGATTGGAAGTGTCGATGATTTGGGGCTCCGAGATACATGCCCAAATATGTCGATGAATTCGACTGTGATCCACGCGATCAAATCCACTCTATAATGGCGAAACGCCGCACTGTAGCAAACCAGCAACGACGCTATTTTTTGCGCCACTTTGAATGGCAAAAATTGCACCGTACACTATCGAGCGTTCTCGATACGACGATGATTAATGTACTATCAATTACAGCACGTGATTAAGTTAGTTACGGCGCCCATCGGTTTTTTCTATTTTTGGGACGACCGGATCACACCATTATCGCTTTGACCGGTTCAGCGATTGACAGGTCGTTGCAACTTTAAGCCTCTTCCAAACCGTTCGATAGGTGGACATCGGTTTTCCATTTGCAAGCTCAAGCTGCCACCGATTACCTGTGACATTATCACGTATTCGCGATCGTAGAGCTACACGGAATGGGACTTAGAGAGCGCCATCGATCGTTCGGTGCCATAATAGCTTAATCAATAAAAACAAAATACAAAAGTGAGAGACTTGATTCACAGCACCCTACAGCGGGACGTGACTACCACCGACCGCCGCCACCGTGTTGACGACGACCATGCCCAACACCGCACCGGTGCGGCTAGGTGGCTTTTATGACTTGTAGTTCTTTCTAATTTTCATTTTTATTGGATCTTAATTAAATACAACATGGCACTTTAAAAGCGCTCAAACGTGAGCCACCGGCAAAATTTCGCAACCGGCTAAGCCAATATTGATTGGCGCGCTAAGTGTGGTAGTCGCACCGTGGTTGATGATTCGGTGGAAGGAGGTTCGAGCGTCTTAGAGGCGCCATATAGCAGCTAGATGGCTTTTAGCGCGCTTGCTCGAAATTAACGATATATTGTTTGCAGGCAATCGACCAACGGATGAGACTTTTATTGGAGAAATTTCGAACTTCTCACCTACTTTGCAGATAATTTTATAGGGAGAAAGCTTTGAAATGGCGAGTCCTTGGGAAATGAGAAGAATTTCGCTTATAAGTGCCCGTCTCCAGCTCACGACTATATATCGCTATCGAATTCAATTTTTCATCTCCTGACGGCTAACAAGGCAACAACAATCACGGGCTGATTTGCCCACGATAATGGTAGACATGGTCGTTGTCGCGTCAGCTATCATTACCTGTACGACCTGATATTCTCAAAGGCCACCACCAGCTCAGAAACTCTGCTGATCAACTCGTCTGCCTCAGTGTCGGACACTGACTGTAGGCGAGCAGCACTTTTTGCTCCCCAAAACAACCAGCCACCAACCAACCAACCGCGGTACGTTGCAACTGAATGATCACAAATTGAAAACCCGATCCGCGTTCGAAGTGACCATGACTCATTTACAAAATTCACCACGGCTGCTGCAGCCCCATGGCCTTTCGGTCCACGACTATAGAGTGGACGGCGACGAAGACGGCGTCATCCGCTTGAGATAATACTTTCGCTTCTTATTACAGATCCCGGGCGATCACGATCAACGGTGTATGTGAGAGGGTGTGCGTGTATGTTGGTTGACCATAACCGTTGGGTTCTTTTTTAATTCGTTGCACGATATTTGTGATCGAACGGTTGGCTAGTTTTAATCTACTATTGTAGTAGGTTTTGGTACGTGCACCAGGTTACACCCGACCGTCTAGGTGGTGGTAGTTTCCTATGCGATACCACTGATGGGGTAATTTGATCTACTCCAGTTCTTTCGATATCCAATTCAGATTGAAAGTGAACGGACGGACGCGGCTTTGGTGTAACGGTTGGAGGAGTTTATGAAAATTCATATCATCGTAGAAGGCTGAACTTGATTTGGTGCTGCATTATGAATTTCATTGAAGACTTGACGGATCATCAATAACGGTTCCGTATTTGAGACATCTCGAAAAACGAGGCATTTAAAAAAAAAACGATCAGTACATCATCCTTTGCACCATTCTTCAATGATGTTCATATGGCTGTATGATGTAAGGCAGCGTTTTTCAATCTATGGGTCACGAACCACCGGTGGGTCGCGGGCTGTCCGTAGGTGGAACTTTAAATGTTCACATTGTTATGGCTAGACAAACATTTCAAAAGGTCCTATCTGGCATTTGTAAACAAATCGAATTTAATGCTTTTCTGTACAGTACCGTAGAGTGGTAGAGCTCGCCAACTCTAAGTTTTGTTCAAGAAATTTTAGTTATTTTTTTTTAATAATTACTTTATTTGTACAGGCTCAATCGAATAAACGTTACAGAGCCGAGTTATCCTTTCCGTTATACATTATTGCTGTCTTATATTTAAAGTTAAAGGAACTGGACCGAGTACTCGTGGTTGTCTCGATGTTAGTTGAGATTACATTTTAATTATTAATAGCGAACATTGTAATGCATGATAACAAGTGCATGATCATATATTAGATTCATTATTTAAGTTTACCAATATTTTTAAAAGCATTACATATTGCGTTAAACCATTCCATGGTACATAATAAAGGGTTTGTTTCAATTCCAATAAAATATCAAAAGTTGAAATCAGTTAAATGTACTGAGGTTAACTAAAATCGAGCTTATTTGTATTTTGTAATACTTGTTTATTTTACATTCATTATATTTTATATATTGCATGATTAGTATATTATTTTTATTTCAAATACTTAAAATCTCATTATATCATTAGAACTATAATTTTCATTTACAGAAAATAGTTGTCCTGCAGATCCTCAAGGACCGGAAGGTGTATCAAATAGCAAATCATTGTTATTTACATTTTATTTTATTATAATATAATATGATCTATGGTTATTAGAATTTGGATCACCCAGAGAATAAATTGAATATCATCATATGTTTTTAAATTGTTTTACCTTTGCAGAGTTTTACTATTTCAAGAATTATTCATTTATTTATTTATTTATTTATTTATTTCGTCAACCAACGTAGACTTTGACACTTGTTTTTAAAACTCTTGTATGCTCAAATAACCTCGATTATTTAGCAAATTGATTCTTTACTTAAATTGTGGATTCCTTAAATAGGCAAAGTTGAGTTCAATCATACCATGCAATTAAAATATTCATATATAGCTTGAGTTTAAAGAAATTGAGGGACTCAAATCGAGGTTGTTTGTATTTTGTTTTATTTTATTAATTATATATCGACGAGATGGATCCGGAATTTTGACGTCTGTGTTTTAGGGAGATACCTGCGATGGGTCGAAGAAAGTCTACGAGTAGGCCAGTTGCTGTTGGTACAGCTCCACTTGGTTATTTGAGTGAGATCATTCATTTTTATTTATTTATACAGTAACCCCTCCCTATCGTTAGGACGTCAATTCCGCTTATCGTTTACCAAAACGAACCCTGCTGCAAACCCTACCCTCTTATCCAACATCCCAGTGATTCCTCGTGGAAGTGCAGAGGATTTCTCGGCTTCCATCAAAGCGAGTGTCACGTCAACACATTCCTACCCATTCCTTTCTTGACCTGCGTTAGGGCGCGGCCGGCGCTGGTATTGCCTAGTTTGAGATCACCATTTTTACACATTGAGGATGATTGCTAGTCCCAAGCATCGTCTATTGGTTCTCTGTGTAAGTACAGCTGATATGGCAATACCTGAGTAGCAACCGTGGGCGGTCAATCATGCTCATGCTGATGCTCAGAAATTTTACTTATTAATAGCCAGAAAATTATAAAATATGTGAAAAAACGTTCAATTTGAAAATTTTATTGGACGTCAAACGTGTTTCATGTAGAATAGAAAAACGACCAACTTCAGCCGCCCTCACCAAGGGTCACACAGTCGCATATAGCAAGATCCTGGTAGTACGGATCAGTCGTAATGATGGTACTATAGACCAGAGCAGTCTAGATATTTCATCGGATCCCTCGACCTATAGTTCCTTTTTCGGGCCACCCTCCCATTGTCAGACCAACTGCCAATCTCGCAGTCATTCAAGTCGAGACTCTAGTAAAAATGCCAGTACAAGTCCTATGAGCCAATCGGTGAGATCAAGCAAAACTGTATCGTCAGGACGTTCCTTAGAATACGGAAGTGAATAACACTTTTTGACGTAAGACTAAGTCTGTGATTTTTTATACGGGGGTACACTTTGTGAAAACCGAAAATGGAACAGGGAGGGAAGTCGTTGTTTATAAAAGCTGTTACGCCTAATTCCAGCCATATCTAGATATGCTTAAATCTAACATACCATGTACTTTAAGGCAACATTGGGGGTGCAATTTCAAAAACCAAAGTTGGTCGCGTCATGAAGGTGAATCATGGCAAAAAGCAAAGGCAATAGGAAATTATTCCAGACTCTGGACTAAGAAACATTTTCAAGATCCTAAAACGTGGAGATGTTCATGGTTTTATATATGATCGATTTTCAAAATTTTGAGACAAAAAATTTCGTTTCCAAAATCTTTGATCAGTGTTCACTCGGCTGTGTGGTCCTCCTCATTGTTCTTCATCACCAGTTCGTTCAGTCGATGCGTCGTCGACTTTGGAAAGCAACCGTTTCGTGATAAGTGTGTGAGAGACCCTGGATGACCACGTTTTGCGTCCATTGCTGCAATGGAAGCGCTCTGACCTTCGTTGGCGAATCTGCCATACAATGAAACCACTGGAAGCGGCTCCCGTTCTGGTGGAGGAGGCTTTTTGGATAGCGGAAGATAAAATGTTTATTGTGTTGTACCTTTTGACTATAGTTTTAAGATGTATTTTATAGTGAACAAGAATCCTCGGCGCAGTAAAGTTAATTCGGTTGAGCCTTATCAAATAAATTAATAAACAAACAAAAAAAGATCTTGGATATCGTGGATTAACACAGAAGTTTGAGATCCCAGATTTAAAGCTAAAGACCCTGGATTTAGATCCAATAGCAGGATTCTAGAAGAAAAATAGTAACTGTTTCGAACTTAACTAAACTTTCAGAATTCTGTTTAATATTGAAAACTCCAGAATATTAAAAAAAAAATAAAAATTTAAAAAATCATTAACTTTAAAATAGTTGCTACTCTTGGACTTGAAACAATAACTAAGACATAGAATTTATTTTTCAAGATTCTATTAGATTTACTTTGCCAAAACCTCAATAATTCTAATTTTTAGATCGTGGAACTCCTGAATTGAGATCTCAGCCTTGGACAAATTTAATAGATCATTATGGATGGATAAAAAAAATCAAAATTCTGTCATCAAACTCTTTAATTATGAAACACATCTAAAACTAGGCCTGGATAAATTATCAAAATAAATAAGGTATAAGTAGGTATTCAAAATATTTTAAGGATGCAACCAAATTCCCGGCTATTTCCCATTTGTTCTCGATTCTCGGTTAATTGCCGGTTCTCCTGATTTTTCAGGTTCACTTGGCATCCTTTTTGACAAAATGTTCAAAAATTGAATTTGAATTGACGGTTCGATTGAAATTTGACATTGGGATCAGCTTCTACAGACTGAGGCTACAGGCTTAGTCATATTTTTTTATGAACACATTTTTCAAAATTTCTCTGAATCAACATAAGGGTGTATAGAATCAGAGTAGGCATTGTTGTCAGGATAAGTTCATTTGTTTACATCACGGCTTCACCGGAGCAAGCACGTCACGATTCTATCCTGCGCACTCGAAACGAAAATCCCGGTCTATCCGCTCCTGGCAGGTTTAGATCAAATTCCTGGGCAGAAATTTTTTACCTCGGTTGACGGAAGAGTGTAAAATCAAAAAGAGGTCGAAATTCCCCAAAAAGCTCATTTTCTGGCGAGCATTATGCAGTTGTAGACTGAAAATCGAAACTTCCGTTACTTCTGAAACCATGAACCAGCAAATTTACTAGGATGAGAGCCTATGGAAGAGACTACTGCTTTTTCTGGAGCAGCATGAGGTGGATTACCTATTCTGGCCGGACTTGGCAAGCTGCCACTACACAAATTCCACCAAACAGTACAGCGGTGATGGCGTACAGCGATACAGCGAAAATGGCGCCAAGGAGATAATTCCGGCCAATACTCCGGAACTTAGGTCAATTAAGAAATACTGGCCAATTGTGAAGCACATATTGAAGAAAAAGGATGGAACTGCAACTAACCTGAAGGATTTCAAGCAGAAATGGAATTTGGCAGCCAAAAAAGTGGGAACAGGGCTCGTGCAAAAAAGGATGGGCGGTGTACGAAGAAAAGTTCTATCAATGGCCTGTGGTAAGAAGGAAGACTGAAACAATGGTCTAACAATAAGCATAATACCGAAGACAACAAATCAAGAAGACTGACAACTCCTCCATTTTCTCATACGAACGCTATGAGACAGGTACAATCGCATCATCTACCGCTCAAAGGTAAATGCTTCGAACGAATTTTATAGCAAAGATTACATCCTCAGAAGAAAGGTTTGTGTATTTGCTCATTTTTCTATGCGTTGTTTCCACCTTCACTCAAGCGCAGCGCCATTGTATCTGTCGCTTGGATTCTGGCAAAGTTGCTAGTCTTCTTGATTTGTTCTCTTCGATAATACCTACTTATGTATAGCTGTTACATTGAACTATGAAAAATAAAACGCATTTTTAAACCCCAACAAGATTTTCGTGTCCGGATTTTTCCGTGTTCAATAATGTTTGAAAAATATTGAGGGTGGACAAATTGATACTTTGCTCCTATTGAAAATTGTTGGGAGGAGGCCAAAAGGACCTTTGCAAAGTGTATAGGAACGCATGGTAGGGATATTTGAGCCCACACACGAAAAATTGATGTAAATTTAGGTGCTCTGAGATTGACATATACGAGCGTCAATTTTGACATAAAATTAAGTCATTATAGACGCGAAATTCAGCTCAATAAAACGTACTTTCGAACTTTTCAGTCTTGGAGCACTTAATTTTACATGACATCATCTCATCCTTTATGTCAAATATGGATTCCGTCACGTGTATTATTAGGTATTTCTAAGTGTACAAGTTTGCTTTCTTCGAAAAGAAAAAAAAACACTCCTAGCGAAACCATTTCTCTAGCTTGATTCATACGTGTGATGTCTCGCCTCATGTCAAACTATTTGTTAAACGCTCATCTTTTCCGGTTAGACTGGGGGACAGCAATCTCTGTGAATGTGAACAAGGTTACCAGGACGCAGGTGACATTATTTGGTCTTGTGCTGAGCATCGTGGAGTCATATCTGAGCTTAACTATTCCCTTCGGGCACGAGGTAAAGAACCAAATATTCCACTTCGGAGTAGTTTGACTAGACGCGATCTGGAGTGTATGAAACTCACATATGTTTTCTTGAACAATATTAACCTTAAATTGGTTTTGAGTACTTGGCACTGATGAAGTAGTAGACGAAATACGCGTATCTTTCAAAAGATAAGCAATTATAACGGAATTTAAAGGAAATAAACTAGCCCACTCAAAGCTCTTCTTAAATTGTAGTTTGATTAACTTTGTGTTTAGTTTGTATTTTGTGTGTGTGTTTGTTTTAATGGTTGTTTTTTTAATAATTGTGTAACTACACTGCTGATATCTAATTGAATATAAATAATTTCATGTTTAAGGAATAATGAAATACTTGTATCGTAAAACATATTTAAAATCTCCTTCTCCCTCTCCCCATCCATAACATTGTAAATGACGGTGTATTCGGTTCAATTCCTGTAACTTTAGATTTAAGATTAAGATTATGTATGTATAATGCAAATGGTAACTTGGCTCAGCTGTAAAGTTTACTCGATCGAGTCTGTACAAATAAATTAATTCACAAATAAATTCTGTAAAAATGAGGAGCGCACAAGCTGCTTGTGGGTGTGCTTATTATAAGGGTATATATGTTCAATAACTCTGCCATATCATATCTATATACCCGAGTCTTCTGAACTAGTGTTTGAATTGATCATAAAATCCGCTGGAGCAATTCTTAAAGAATTCCCGTTTTCTCATTGATGCCACCTGGACGAAAGTGAAAGTTTTACTATCTATTAACATGTCATGAAAGTCTTGACTAAAGATGAAGCACCCTTTAGCGAAAGGGTGCACAAGATTCTTAGGGTTCCGAAATTGTCCCTGCATGGATTATATCATACACACTTAGAAATAACTAATTGTACACGTGACGGAATCCATCTTTGAAAGAAAGGATCAGACGTAAACCAACATTTCATGTAAAATTAAGTACTCCGAGACTGAAAAGCTCGTTACTCGCCGAAAAGTACGTTTGATTGCTATGAATTTCACGTCTTTATGACTCTATTTTATGTCAAAATTGACGCTCGTATATGTCCGTCTCAGAGCACCTAAACGTACATGAGTGTGTAGCAAATAAGGTTCATAAGTGGTCATTCAATAATTACGTAACACTTAGGGTTGTTAGAAATCGTCTTTTGTTTTCTTACATGGGAGGGAGGGGATCTCAGAAATAGCTTACGAAAGTATGAAAAAGTCATATACAGACCATTCAAATATTCGATGTAAGATCTTACAGAGGGGGGAGGGTTGTTTTGTTAAATATTAATAAATCTTACAAATCCCCAAAAAGTGTTTACATAATTATTGTATGACCCCTAAGCTACTGAAATAGCACAGGAGTCTTAATTAACACCTTCATGTTGAGAGTTAAAGGTTTAATTTAATGTTACAGTTTCCGTTCCGACCTCATAAGGTTCAATTTACTTTGATGCATTTTAGAAAAATTAAAATGCAGTTTTTTTTTTCAGATTGCAAAAAGCTCACGTCGTTTTGCGTAAAACACCAAAAAGAATAGAGTGAAGCGAGATTTTTGTAATTTGAAATGATGCGTCGAAAAAAACTGCATTTAAATTTTTCGAAAATGCATCAAAGTAAATTGAACCATAAGCTATTTATATCCATAAATGTGTGTTATAAGCTTTCTTAAATCATTTAAATACCAACCATCTCCAAATAATGGTCTAGTAAAATAACAAATGGAATGGAATTGATTTTCAAGATAAAAAAGAGGACAAAAAGCATATATTGATAAAAACGGGAATCATATTTTTTCAGACCTTTAAAACCCGTCGAAAAAAATGGCATCTTCCGCCATTAATGGGTGAGATGGCTGTAATTGAAATTGATATGTGTAAAAAATCAATCCGTTTCGTTGCATAACAGATTGTCCCAGAACGCATGCGAGCTAACACCCCAAAACAACCAAACCCCAGCGAAGGTCACTTTTTCCTGACAATAACTGCCCCACCGTCAAATCAAAAATACCCTCGTAAAACCAATCGATCAGTCAAGCAATCGCTCTCGACAAACCAAAAGCAACTACCACCATAAAAGAGAAAGAAGCCCCACAAATACACGTCCAAAACAAGCAGCTTCCAGCTATCTTCGGAATAAATCGGAAGCAAAAACCACTAATTCAATATTTACCTTATTCGATAGACGGCTTTCGTTCGCTTCTTGTACTCAACAGGGTGCGAGTAATCGGATTCGTCACGCTTCGATGCCTGGGGTAATAATCTCCGAAATGAAGAACAAAGCAAAAAAGCTCACGACTCTTCAACTCTTCTCAAGTTCACTGTCACAGCTTGATTTCCTATATAGCTCTGCTTTCCGGTGCTCTTACTCAGCTGGGAGTGTTCCAAATTTCCGAATGCAAATTTTTTCACAATTTCCCCCTTTTCGGTACTGTTGTTTTGTCCCCAAAAAACAACAACCCACGAACTTTGATTTTCACGCGGGTCGTGTTTCGTTAACCTCTCTCGCGCGGTGATCTGGGTTGTGTTCCAACCGGCTGCACTCCGTGTGAGATCTTCACAGTTGCCTGCCACTGACACTGCTTTCTTCCACTCGTTTTCTCACCCTCGCTCGATCCAAAAGGCAGCTCAGGCCAAAGACCGCGCGCGATGGTAATAATAAACCGAACACGAGCACAGAACAAAATAAACGTGTCCACCAGATCAAGATCTGCGAGAGCTGCTTCGGCTACCGTTTCCAGTCTAACAGTTTCGAACCAGACAAATTTTCCCTTCGCTGAGTTATCTACTCGCTGGATCGAGACAGAACTTCCGTAATAGCTTGCAACAACGTCAAACTCTCGTTGTTTTCTTCTACTTTTCAAACAGCTGTGTCCCGATGGAACCGGATAAAAATTCTTGTCGGATGAACTCACGCTTCTTCGTACCGTTGAATCTTCTTTCCGATTCAAACAGCTGCACAGCGTTTCGATGGCGTCGTTCTTCAGATTCGCGCAAGATGCAAATTTCTACTTGCTTCAATCTTTCACCTTTGCGGTCGTCGTTCGCGCACACTCTTCTTTTCCGCTGCTAAATTGGACTCTTAGGGCCTTTCTTCGCTGGTCGAAGAAACAGACCGAAACCAAACTGAGACCAGAGGAAAAGTGTTGAACTGGTAAAACCGAATAATCGCGCTTTTGCACTGTGAATCGTCTCGTTGAAAAAGAGCTGTGGTATGTTTACCTCTCTTCAAGACATACAATTCTCGGCTCGATTTGCTGCGATTTCAATATTCACCGGTGTGATTACGTGTTCTTTTCGTGTGCGCCTTTTTTTCTTCTTCTTGTTGTTGACTTTTTGCTCAACCATCCACTCAAGAGATCTGTGGTCCGTATAGGCTGCCCGCCAACGCGAAACTGACTCGCGAAGAAAACATTAAACTTGCAGGCCAGACCCCGAAAACCGAACAACCCCACACACACGAGTGGGTTGTTCGCGGTGCTGCTCCTCTCTCCAACGCGCGTTCGAAGCTTCTCAATCTCGCACAAAATGTAAAAAAAATAAACAACAACGCGTGGTGTGCGAAATTGCAACTTGCACGGTGCAGCTCACGAACTTTAGATGAGAGACTTGCACGAGGGTTCGTCGCTTACGCCGCGTTCAAGTCTCTCAGCCCGTAACCGCGGCGGTGAGTTGCATTGAGTGGGTTGTTCCATCGGTAGTGTGAGAGGGTTGTAGTCTCCGTTCGGTTCCTACTCGGATTCTGAATTCATCGCATATTACAACCATGGTGGTGGGATCGAAGCAGCAGCAAGCAACGGGTGCAATGGAAGGGACGAGAAGTAATTTAGCCGGTTTTTTCTTGCACGTCCAAATAAGTAAGGGAAAACCGGGGTAAGGCGGACACCTTAAGGATTTTTATTATTGTATCGGCAATAAATACAGCATTTTGCTAATAACAGAGTACATGTCCCTAACCTGGGTCTGCAGCAGCCACAATTGAGCACGATGAACAGAACACATGGAATATCGATTTAATATCGGTCTACTGTCCCTTTCTCACTATCTTAGGCCCAACAATGCACACTGGGGACAAAATCGAAACAATGTGTTAAAATTCAATAACTTCGGTGCTCGCTGGAACAAGAGACTATAAAATAGTCATTCTTATAGAAAAAAGTCTCAGGAATCGATTGGAGTGGGTTTTATCTTGGGCACGATAGGGTAAGTTGGGGTTTTTCACAGTTTTGCCCTAAAATCTCCTATTTTGCATGATTTGAATGCTGTATCTCAAGATACCGATGATAAAGACGGATGATTTCTTCGGCAAAGTTGATCAGGAGGTCAAGTACTGTTGGATGATGGACAGAAAAATTCGGAATTCTTCCGCTAGGCGGCGCTAGTGAGCATTCGAAGTGAATATGTTTGCGCTGCTGTATCTCAAGATCCTGTCTATTTAGACGGATGATTTCTTCGGCAAAGTTGATCAGGAGGTCAAGGACTGTTGGATGATGGACAGAAAAATTCGGAATTCCTCCACTAGGCGGCGCTAGTGAGCATTCGAAGTGTATATGTTTGTGCTGCTGTATCTCAAGATCCTGTCTATTTAGACGGATGATTTCTTCGGCAAAGTTGATCAGGAGATCAAGGACTGTTGGATTATGGACAGAACAATTGGGAATTCTTCCGCTAGGTGGCGCTAGTGAGCATTCGAAGTGTATATGTTTGTGCTGCTGTATCTCAAGATCCTGACTATTTAGACGGATGATTTCTTGGGCAAAGTTAATCAGGAGGTCAAGGACTGTTCGATGATGGACAGAACAATTTGGAATTCTTCCGCTAGTTAGCGCTATCTATGATCTTCTCTGGTTATTACGTCCCAACTGTAACTTAACGCCTGCTCTCAACTTAGTGCTCTAGATGCACTTCCATAGTTGTTAATTGAAAGCTTTCCAAGCCTATTCAATTTTTACATGTGTATATTGTGTGGCAAGTACAATAATATACTTTGCCCAGGGAAGTCGAGAAATTTTCCAATCTGAAATCCTAGACCAACCGGGATTCGAACCCAGCCACCTCCAGCATGGTTTGCTTTATAGTCGAAGGCTCTACCGACCCAGCTTATGGAGGCCCCCTGATCTATGAATGTAATCAAACTAAAATGCGAGATGGTAGCCTAATTAACAAGTTTTGAGGACAATTTGGTGAACCTAGAACGTCTTAAACATATCGAATTCAAATGTAAATAATGTGCATGATATGTTTAACCCTGTTTGGAGATGTTTTAATACAAAGGGCTTTGAATCAGTGAACCTGGATGAGAATTTGATCTAAGCTCAAGGACAATTTGGAGAACCGTGAGTATCTTATACACCTCAAAATCAACTATAAACGAACAGCAGAAACTGTATAAACGTGTTTCGGAAAGTTTTGTCGGTGAGATCATCGTGCAGATTTTAGTTGATCCAGTAGATCAAATAATCTGACCTCTAGGACACTTTGAAGAACCTAGAACTTCTAAAACACCTTAAATTGATGTTGTTTGGAGATGTTTAGTTGCTAAGGACCTTGTATCAGTTATGGTTGATCAGGTAAATCATTTGATATGAGCTCAAGACAATTTGGAGAACCTTGATTATAAATCAAAATAAATCAAAAACGATCCGCAGAAACTTTATGAACATGTGTTTGTAGGTTTTATCGCTGAACACATCGTGCAGTTCATGGTCGAGCCAGTAGATCAAATAATCTGAACTCCAAAGCAACTTGGAGAACCTAGAACATCTCATACACCATCAATTACAACGAAAATGATGTGCATTATAGTCATGGACCTGGGTGCATAAACTTGCAATAATTATAAAAATTTGCCAAAAAAATTTCATTCTGTTAAAAAATGTCAAAATTAAGCGGAAAATATGAACATCACTGTTTAAAACTTCTTTTGAATTTTCAACAATCTTGTATGGTCGACGTCACTTATCCGTAGAAACAGGGAAAACATATTACTCTCTCTCCGAAAATGTATGGTTACGTCACTTTGTATCCAGGCTTCCAAAACACATTTTTATCACAAAGAGACTGTTTTCTGGTGTATCTTAGGGTATAGATTATCAATATGAAGAAAAGTGAAAATTGACCATGGTGGCGTTTACGTCACTTGGTCATCTCACGGCAGTAAGGGCCTTGTACTGGTTATGACTGACCTGGTACATTATTTGATCTGAGATCAAGGACAATTTGGTAACCTTGAGCATCATATATACATCATACTGATCCTGAGCGATGTACAGAACCTCTTTGAACATGTTTGAGCAAGTTTCGACGCTAAGGACATTGTGCAGGCCTTGGTTGTCAAATTTTCTAAACTACAGAATGCTTTGGACGACCTAGAACGTCACTTGAGCTTCTTATATACATCCAAATAGATCAACAACGATGCGCAGTACTTCTTGAACATGTTTGAGCAGGTTTCGCAGCTGAGGTGTTTTGCACGACATTACCAAAAAGTGATGACCGGGTCATAGAACTTGTTATCAATTTGATATTTTTTTTGCTCGGGATTATGATTACATAGAATGCTACGGAATAGTTTCAAAATTGGTCATACAATTCCGGAGATACGGCCGGAACAAGTTCTTAGTGTCTCAAAGAAAATAACCAGTTTATGAGTATGTTCAAAATCCATCATGCGACACAATAAATTACATCAGAATTCGAAAACAAGTTCAATAACAATGATATCTAGTACCCTGAACCAGATTGGCTGAATCCGGATATGTTCCGGGTTGCACCGAGGAAGTGGCCAGATTTGATTTTTTTAAATCAATCTTGTGCCACATCGAATGACGTGAGAATTTTTAAATAAGATCATTGGTAGTCATATTGAGTGTAAATAGGGTCAGACCATAGGTGAATAAATTGGGATTTTTCCTATACATATAAGCAAGTTTGGTCTCTTAATATCCATTAAAATATAAACTACAGTAATGACCTGATTTTATCAGTCTCTTCACACATTATTCTTTTAATGTTCAGTAATTTCCTATATCCATAATTCGAAATCTTTTCCATTAATTTTCTTGATCGATGTTTAGGGTAAACTTTGGTGCAATAAAACCATTGAAATAGCGCATGGGTTTCGCAGAATATTAGAAAATATTTTCAACAAGGGGGCTGATAGAATCGGGTCATTATTGTATATATTATATCTTCAAAAAAATTACACCGACTGGAGCGGAAATCGAACCCTCACTCCATGGCACACGCAAAATAGCTGTTAGACGGGTGACGCTGCTAACCACTCGACCACGAAGACCACTTTGAAGCGAAAATGTGAAATGTCGTCATCGAAACCCAATCCAAAAGAATTATTTGTTTACTCTTGTTTCTTTCGAGACAGTAGCTCAGTGTAGTGCAGTTCTTACGTGGTTTTAAGTGTGTTCCACTGAATTTCATTAAGCAAAATTCTGTCAAATAAAATTATCGTTGAGGAATATTTTGCGTCTGGTCGAGATAAAAACCGTTTACTTGACTTTGTGTCTAGGGATCCCTGGGCATGCTTAATTTTAGAAAACAGCATAAATTAACGAAGAAACGTTTTTAATACGACCGTCGAACATAAAAAAAATAATAGTTTGGAAAAATTGTACCTGTTGAGCGAAGTGCTAAATTTAAAAAAAAAACAACGGATTCCAAACCAATTTAAATTGAACTTGAATGAAAATTAGTAAAAGCGTGGAAATGCGTTAATGTAAAGCAAGACATACTACTGATGAAATCTGTTTTTGTTCATGTTACTAAATAATAAATAGCATCAACCGCGATTAGAAGAAGATTTGTCTTTGATATTTGTATGAATAATTTATAAAAATCCTAAACAAAAACTACCGACAGCAGCACAAACATATTCACTTCGAATGCTCACAAGCGCTGCCTAGCGGAAGAATTCCCAATTGTTCTGTCCATCATCCAACAGTCCTTGACCTCCTGATCAACTTTGCCGAAGAAATCATCCGTCTAAATAGTCAGGATCTTGAGATACAGCAGCACAAACATATACACTTCGAATGCTCACTAGCGCCACCTAGCGGAAGAATTCCGAATTGTTCTGTCCATCATCCAATAGTCTTTGACCTCTTGATCAACTTTGCCGAAGAAATCATCCGTCTAAATAGACAGGATCTTGAGATACAGCAGCACAAACATATACACTTCGAATGCTCACTAGCGCCGCCTAGTGGAAGAATTCCGAATTTTTCTGCCCATCATTCAACAGTCCTTGACCTCCTGATCAACTTTGCCGAAGAAATCATCCGTATATATCGTCAGTATCTTGAGATACAGCATTCAAATCATGCAAAATAGGAGATTTTAGGGCAAAACTATGAAAAACCCCAAC